ATAGGGGAAGCTTCTAGCAGCTTCTCACAGAAACCACCCCAGCCAGGCCCCCCACACCCCGCTACCAAAACTTTGCTATGCAAACCCAACACAGGTGCTCTGCCTGGGCTGAGAAAGCACACAGCAGCAAGAAGCAGAGAGAACTGAGCACGTTGTTTTGCACCCTGACATTGCAAAGGGAAGGACAGAAGTGGTTCTCAACAAGAGGTCTCAATTGATGTTGGGTCAGTGTGATGGGAATGGCAAATGTGATGGTTACTAGTATTTACACTTCTCTTCAATGAGAACATGACATCACTTTTTCATGGAATTTGGCTTTTTATTTAAAGTTAACTAGCTCTAGCCAGCCTTCTCCATGATGAACAGAAGCAAAACTGAGCAAAGGTTGTCTAATATTTCTCTGAAGTTCTTTCCTGTGTGAGGTATGTTTGCCTAAATAGGAAGACAGATTTATAACACAACATACAGTATTTCACTGACATGAAGGGAAGTAGAGATTAATTACTGTGCCACATTTTTGAAACTAATAAAACAGAAGGTGCTTATTTCCTCCCTCTGGTAATTTCAAAACATTAGTATTTTCAGAGATAGTCACAAACAGACAAGTACTCTGGGTAAAAGGAAAACTGCATTCAAATACCCAATGCTAGTGACTGGACTTAAAATTGTGGGGAAAAAAGGCAAGCAGAACCCAAGAGCAACAAAAAAACCTCACCTAAACCCACTCGTTTAAAAGAATGAAACAAAAGTCACTGAATCTATCTGCACAGCATTTTCTTTCCTGTGTGTCCAGTTTTAGGTCCTATTGATAGTAAACACTTTTATACAACTATTTTTCCTAAAGGACATACTCAGCTCAGAGAAGAGAGCATTACATATCAGCATTTCCTCCCTGAGAATTCTGATTATGGCCTGAGAAGTCAAGGACACACAAGTTGGTTATGTATGACAAGATGTCTAAACAGATGAATAAGCAAGTGATACCACCCTGTCAGGAGCTAATTAATTTGGCTGTCTTTGGTTTATTTGTACAACTTACAGTCTGTATACAAGGTCAACCAAGACATAATGTACCACTCACCATTTCTGCCACAGGCAAACCTTCTATTAGCTCCTTTAAAACGCAAGAAATGTTTTTCACTCTGTGCCTTTGCAGACTTGTCAACTGAAATCCACCTTATCTTTCCATTTAGACATAAAAGCAAGTCACCATGGCAACTAAGGAAGACATAAGAGTAGTTTTTAACAGCAGCTTTCCACACTTCCCCTGCTTTCGCTTTTTCGCTGTCTTGATTTCATTTTATCTGATGTGACTTCAGTAAGACAGAACTTATGCTTAAAATCTGCTAGTGCTTACAGACTGTGTTGCAGTAGATCAAGAGAAGGTGTCAAGTTTCTAGGATTTACTGAAAAAATCTAAGTTTCTGCTACAGTTGTGTTCTCCAAGTTGTTATTATTTCATATGTTTAAGGTAAGTTACAGCCAAAGTGGAAGTGTCACTGACTCCTCAAAACCCCTTTACAAAAAAAAAAGAAAGCACTGAAAGATTAAATATTTTACTGAGAGGAAGTTTAATTATTTCATAAATAATATTTCAGACTTTAAGAATAATTCATAACAGAACAAGCTGAAAAAGAAAAGAAATCTAGAACAACCTAAAGCCTATTTTCATTTAGACACTGCCTTGAATTAAAGATATGGGCACAAGAGTCCTGTAGTTTACTAGCTAACAGCACTCCCCTACATTTGGGGATTTAAAGTTATTTCAAGTACTGGACTGTCTGCTTAAAAAAAGCTTCTCCTTCCACTGGAAAGAAGCAGCTCTTGAAAGCAGGTGGATGAAGAGCCAGACATGAACTTCTGTTACATTAAGGATCCCCCAGTCTAAAAATTATATTCTTATAAGAGATCTAGATGTCAAAGTAGCTGCCATTTGCGTAAGCACAGCCCCTTTCTTCGCAAGTCAGATGTGCAATACAGCCCTGGGAAAGGTAGGAACAGAAAAAGTAATTCAGATTGAGAAATGAGACTGCAGAAGCAACCAATTCAATTTAGGACTTATTTTGAAGTTTTGCAATTGTTCAAATGTTGTAGGACTTCAGTTTATTAAAAGCAGTGTTACTACATGGCACCGCAACATGTATCTTCTCATATCTTGGTAATCGTCTTATTCAGTGGCTGAACTTTGTGTTAGAAATGTACTAAGACACATTTTTTAAAATTAATTTTACAACAACAATTTCACTTTACAGTTCAAGTACAGATGGCGACTGTTAGCAAAGATAGGTGACTTTGGAGTCCCACCATTTTGCAACAGGTAAGACTACCTTTCAGACTGTTTTAAGGAAAAATCACACAAACGAAAAAGACCTCGCCAAAACCAAGCCACCTTCCCCACACCACAAGTAAACACACAAGTCAGAAGCAATAAAACATTATGCCATAAGTTTTTAAAAGGATATTGCATACTTGTCTATTGTTCTAAATATCAGTAGGAACAAATTAATCATCTTCATGTAAAAATAGTTTAGCCGGTGTTGTCAGCGGCATGAAGCAAATATCTTTCCACTTCCTTTAAATATGAGGATGTACAAGAGATACTTGTACAAAACTAAGCAATTGCTTCAATTGCGGAAGAGCAGTCAATGTTCAAAGTTTTACTTTTTCCATTGCCTTTCATGTGAGGCCCATAAATCTCCAAAACTTGTGGATCATACTGATCATACTATAGACTTAGCACCAGTGATACACATCTGGAGTTCTGTGTTCAGGGCTGAGGTCCCCAGTACTAAAGAGATATGGACATACTCGAGAGGGTCCCACAGAGGGCATGAAGGTGATCAAAGGAGCCTATTTCTCATAGAATCACAGACTGAGGCCACAGCCCTGAGCAACCTGCTGTAGCTGACCCTGCTTTGAGCAAGTAGGTTGGACTTGATTACCAGAGCTTTCAACCTCGCTACCCACAGAATCGGAGAATGGTTGAAGACTAAACAGGGCATCTTAAATGGAAAGGTCTGAGGAATATAATACTCATATCAGTTCACGTCAAAGGATTAACATAAAATAAGAAAATCAAGATGCTTGTAAGTAAACAGTTAATAGCTTTCCTATTTCAACAGTGTTTTCCTATTTGAAGTGCTTTGTATTCCACTCATCTCCCTCCCCCTTAATCCAACTTTCTGTTCAGTATTTGGGATCCTGGACTTTCCATAACACAGTCCTAAACTGTGCTATTTAGATAAGCATTTGCTTTTCAGAAGATCTACCATCAAGACTCCTGAAGTCTTTTAGGATTCACTGACTTTAGAAATACCATGTAAAGAAGTACGAGATAGTTTCTTCAAGACAACCTCAGGAACCCAAATATTCAAAACCACATGCTTTCTCCAACATGGAAAAAACACCAAGGGGCCAGGACAGCCAAAGAGGGCAGAACAGGCAGTTTAAAGGGAGAAGCAAGGTGTTTACTGTAGTCAGGTAAGAGCTGGCAGCTTAGAAGTTGTCAGCAGCAAAGTTTCTCTATCAGAAGGGAGTAAAATTACATTATGCTCAAAAGATACTGGGCCATTACGGGGGCAAGCTGCTACACCCTCTGTGACTGCAGCTGGAGGGTTTCACCTAACCCACTGGATGCTAAAGTCCCATTTATGTGGGATTCATGGCCCAGATCCCATATGGCACCAATCTGTGACCTTGGGACAGTTTGCTGATTAAGTCCGAACAAAGAAAGGAAGGTAAAATTATAGAGGCAGAACTGCTGCAATGAAAATCATTAGGAGGATCCAAGAAGGAAGGCTCCAACATGGGACGTTACAAAATTGTAAAGGGAAAAGGCACAGCAGAGAAATTAGGCAGGCTGGCTGTTCACCATCAGCTCCCTGGATCAGTATCAATGGACCTGGTGGAAGACTTGGGACCATTCAGGATCAGTGCCACAGAACTGCAGAGACCAATCCTTTCTCTCCTGACTGGTGCCTATCAGGGTGCTGAGCACACTAATGCTTAGCCTCACAGCTCATTAAATCTTAGCTGTCTTTTGTGGATGTTAGCAAATAAATAATTGCTTTATAATTTAACCTGTGGATGTCCTGCTTAGAGTCCTTTTGCAGCTTGGCTCAAGATACCTGAGGAAACCAATCCAAACATTCCACAGAAATGCTTAAGCCAAGGCTAGCTTGACAGCAAAATCATTACAGATGATCAGCCTAGAGGTAATGATACTGATACCCACAGTGTATAACATTCTTTGCTATAAACAGTCTAAAAAGAGAGAAAAATATAGTGACAGATGCTCTATACAGAAGCATATGTTTCAGCCCTCTCGAAAAGGTTTTTCCCATCCAGACAGAATTTGATTTCTTTGGTTTATATACAAATTAGGCTCTTGTTCTGTATTAGTTTCTAGGAGTACTCAACTCTCTCCACCGGCTACAGAACAAAGACTACACAGGCTTTCTGCACATGCAGCTGGTGTCTGCAAGTTCCCCATACTACCACTGGCTTATAGAGAAACAACTGCAAGTCATACATAGGAGCAAGTAATAGACATTCCTCCCCAAACTGAGCACCATTGACTCAAAAAAAATTTGCACATCTTTACCAAGTATCTCCCCTTCTCTGCTTTCACAAGTAACACTCCAAAAATCCAGACAGCAGACAAAAATGAGAAGGAAAAACTCAACATTTTTCAAGCACTGTTCTATGCTACTGCTTCTCCTATTTTCCCCTGATATATCAGGCACTACTGATTTGATGCACCACTGCTCCAATCCCACAAGACAGTTCCCACATGCATTGCTTCTATAAAGAACTGGAAAGGAAGTTTTAAATTAAAGCAGCTTTAATTAAATAGTGAAATCTAGGTGAACTGAAAGCAATCTAATATAAACTAGTTTACAACTTCCATACTAGTGGTAACAGCTAAAACACTTAACTCACTGCAGCACAGAAAGAATTAGAATAATTTAACACTTTTGAAAAAAATACTGAACAGTTACCTCAGGAAGTGTTTCATGGTGATGGTTTGGTTTGTGTTGCTGGAGTCGTAATCTACTTATCACTGATGGCCTCTTCTTTCAAGGTGATATCAGTTCTGTAGAAAGAGAATTGAGATGTATTTACTAACAGAAAAAGGAGTGGTACTTCAGTTTTCTGGATTGCTCTTGAAACAAACATCTATGGGAATACATGGGAAAGATGTTAAGAAATCTCACGTCAATAAAAACAAAATGAAAAATCATAATTTGTTCACACTCTTCAGCCCAAGCACATACTTTCACCAGACTATACTATCCATGTCTCTCTTCAGAAAAGTAAAAAAAAAAAAAATAAGACTACAGAATTAACTGAGAAAGCTTGCAGAAAAATCTAGACAGTTTCAAACACTTCCTGTGTTCTTCAAACACCTGTCTGGTTCACAGCACCTTCCAAGTGGCCGTTTCAAGAGACACTCAGCTCACTCTGCAGTTAAAAACCCTCTGTTCCCCAGAATTCACAACAGCACTTGGAGACCTTGGGTAAAAGTAGGATGTAAGCAAAGAGCTACTTCTGGGTTCTGATTTCATTCACTATAGATGACAGGTAATCGACTCTTCTGGTAACCAACTTTATTAAATGACATATATGAGGTCTTAAAATAGATACAGTTGAGCAGGTTGCCCACCCATTCTGAGATCTGGTGTCCTACAGTTAATTTTCATTCTGATTATCAGTTAGTTCCAGTAGAGGAGAGGAACAGGAAGAATTCAGGAACAACCATCATAAATGTAACCCTGCCCATATACTGTAGACTTTCCAAAGTCATCACCTCTTACTTTGGGTTTCTAAAACCGAGTATTCACATACAACTGATATTTGACTAAAAGATGCAGACTCTCAGATAGCTGCACTTCATATCCTGTAAAAGGCAGTAAAACATCTTTACCTGCTGCCAGAAAACAGGGTACTGTTACACATACGTGCTATTGGGACAGCTTAATCTAAGGACGTAAAGGGAACAAGACCATACTTTGAAGCTCTGTACTAGTACAAACCACACACAGAGGCCTGAATGAAAGCTGTACCACTAAGACATCATTTAGGAGCCCATCTGTCATTAGCCCTGCATGCAGCATGCTGAAAAGTACCCGAAAGCCTTCAAGATCTGGCATCTTTTGTCACTAAGTTATAAATCTCTCGAATCTATTTTCTTCTATGGGAACTACCAGCATTGAAGGGATAAAAATTGTCTTACCCTACCTTGTTCTCATATTGTTTCCCTTTCGTAACGTGCAAGTTTTACATTATGCTGTTGCCTGCTGACAGGAACAGAACAAGCACTTAAGTTCAGAAAAATGCAGCTATCTTGTTAGATTACATCACATACAGCTTGCTAAAAATATATAAACCCCGAACTGTGGGAGCTTCATTCATTTATATTGTTTTTGACGGGCTGAATCATGTTGCTGTCCCCTGAATACAGCTGTAATTGGTGCTGGCTGCAGTGATACCTGCTCGCAAGGGCAGAGAGATGCTAACATCAAACTCTGGTTCATTAATGAACACAGCAGGCAGGCTCCTAACACTTCCTGCTACAGCTTTTGATAGGTCTTCGAGGGCAGCAAGCACAGGGAGCACAGGAGATCGGCAAAAACTGGAGAGGATGTAACCTGCTCCCCTTCTGCAGTCTAATAAATTGCTCTTTTAAAAGATACAGTTTGTGAAAGATTCTCACAGCTGAGTCTCAGCTTTTTAGCATCAACTTGAACAAAGGAATCTTCACCACAGTATCTGACCTATGAGGGCAGCAGTGTAAGGAACACGCCAGAAGTGCCAGGAGCTGTCAAATCAACCCCCTCTAAAAGCATGTGCTGGCCTCAGCCTCCAAGGTCAGCTCCTTCTTGATTCTCATCAAGGTCCTTGCTGAAAATGATGCTGCTTCTTTACTACTGCTTTAAAAGGAAGAGAAGTTCCACTTGCCTGAACTCCAGAATTGGCCCATCCAAGTGTGACATGGTAAGAGCTTCAAAATACTCTCCCTTCAAGAACAGTTACAGCAACAGCCAATCATAAATTTGTTTTGAATGCTCATGAAAACTAGACTGTTTAAAAAACTGTATTTTAAGAAGTTAAAATTGCTGGTTATAAACCCCTGCCTTCCACCCAGCAAGCTAAACTCAACAGAAGGCCACCGGTTGCAAAGAAAAAGCATAATTAAATGACACAACAAGCATGACAAGTGGCTTAAAGTGCCAAGAATAATTCTCCTTGCTCTCTCCCTTTTACTTAAAAAGGGTCAGGGATGGAGAATCACCAGAGAGAAACTCTAGAGCTAAAGTCTTGATGCCACAAAAGTCAACATCAAAGGCCTCAAGCTTGGAGAGGAACAGTTCACCCTGCAGGCGTCAACAGCCAATCCTCTATGGCACAGGCCCAGCCCATCACCAGGTCCATAGAAAGTCTCTGGCCTCAAAGGCAATTTCCTCCACAGAAGCACAAAGCAATCAAGCTCCACCTGACTCCACCAAGAAGATTTTAAAGATCTAGAGGCAAGATTTCCAGCACAAACAAAAGTACAGAGTCTATGTTGCTGTCTTGGTTCATAAAGTAAAAAGCTTAATGTCTGGCAGAAAGGCTTTGTAAATGCTGTCATCTGCTAAGTACAGGGATAGAAATCAATGCCATGCTCTTGCAACAGTTCACATATGTGGGCACACAGATACACATGGGATTAAGCTACTGACATTCAGGCTAGACTGGGAAACCAAATCAGAAGGTAAGAATTTACAGTTGTCTTCAAACAAGTAGGACATAAGTGATCCTCTACGGGAGTTCAGTAAAGATTTTCTAGGGAAAAAAAAAACAACAAACAACAAACCAACAACAAACCGAACAAAAAACCAAAACAAAACCAACCCAAAAAGCCCACAAACTCCACCCCAAAACAGTGCAAACTCAGGCACTTTTAGATAGTTGCACTCACGTGAACTTGCAGCTGTGTTTTTCTGCAGCCTAAGAAAGAGTTCCAGCTTTAAGCTATATACGTATTTTTCTCACTGAGAAACCTGTAAGATACTTCCCATCTTCTACTTTTGTAGGCAGCTTTTCAGCCTTTTCTAGGTTGGTTTGATTTTGTTAGCTGTATTTCATTAATTCCCTAGAAGTAGCTTACACGAGCAACTGAAAACCTCTTAGCCCAATATTTAAAGTTTGCTCTTTGTCATGAAGAGACTTAAATTCTAAGGCTCAAGATTGAGGATGGTGGAGCAAGGATGTGGTTTGGATCTGCCATACACTCAAGTTTCTCAGCTTGCAGGATTTTATCTCATGCTATTCCAGTTCTACAGTCAACCTCCTCCCTCCCACAACACACCTACGTATCTGTTCACTGCCAATTGTTTAATCCAGTTTGCCTTAAGCCAGACAGAGGTTTCCTCATCCTAAAACTAGCTGCAGCTTTTCTTGGGTGAGAAGCACTACAGCTACAAACACATAGAAGAGTGATGCTATTGCAAGAGCTGTCTCAAAATATAAATGAAGCTTTCCTTAACTATTTGGATTCTTGTGGCTCTTTATTATCTTTTAAGCAATACAGCAAAACACACATCAGTCTGAAAGGTTAACAGTTCCTGGAGGCTGCATGAAGCCAAGAGTAAGCCTTAAAAGTCACCTCTTTATTGGAAGCTGAGGGCTTGCTTTGTTTATCTTCAAGAAAGTTGCAGAAGGAAAAAAAGTTGTATTATTTAATATAAAACATCTAATTTTCAGAGTTAAATACAAAACCAAGGTAGTTTTCTTTATAATGTTTTTCTTGCAAGCTAATGACTCACCTGCGAACATTTTTAGAAGGTTTATATTCAAATTATGAAGAAACGATAGCTGTGCTAAAGAGACAAATAATCAGAACCATTAATAGATGAGCAGGCTGAATATAGGACTTAGTTTGTGTGGATCATTAGATTACAGTTCATCTAAACTTTCCTCTTCACAAAAAAAAAAAGAAGGCAGTAATTGCCTCAGTCATCTTGAGTGCAGAGAAAAAAACCCAACATTCATTTATTTAGATTTAATTGTTACAACTTCAAAATAGGTTCTTCTGAGCTGATGCCACCAATTACCATCACGATATTGATTTCAGGTTGCAGCCTTTGTTTTCAGTAGCATTCTGGGTTGTCACCTATCCCTCATTCATCTCAAATGCCTACATGTATTTATTTGTGAAGGACAACAATCTTGAGCCTTATGTCACTAGAAATATTTTGCTACTTTATATTATTTTTTTTTGCTGATGGGAATGTTTATGCTTTTCTATCCTGAAGACCAATCTGCAATAACTAGAATAAGAAAGGGGCAGAATGATACATGTTATGAAACGTCCCTTGAAGTTCTGGTGGATAGCAAGCTGGCCACAAGCCAGCAGCATGCAAAGACAGACAACAGCACCCTGGGCTGCATGAACTCGAGCAGAGCCAGTAAGCAGATTGAGGGAAGGGATTATCTTCCTGTGCTCAGCACTCTTTGTACCACATTTAGACACTGTCTAGTTTTGAGCTCCAGCAATACACATACGTTTCTGCCACTCCTTCCTCATCATGGGGAGGACTCCTTGCGCTCTTCCCCTGCTCCAGCATGGGGTCCCTCCCATGGGATGCAGTGCTCCCTGAACTTCTCCAGTGTGAGTCCTTCCCATGGGCTGCAGTTCTGGACAAACTGCTCCAGTGTGGGTTCTTTCTACGGGGCTCAGTCCTTTAGGAACAGGCTGTTCCAGTGTGGGCTATCCATGGGGTCATGGCCTTCTTTGGGCACAGACACCTGATACGGTGTGGGGTCCTCCACAGGCTGCTGGTAGATCTCTGCTCCACTGTTAAACGTCCATGGGCTGCAGGGGAATCTCTGCTCCAGCGCTTGAAGCACCTCCTCCCCCTCCCTGTTCATTGCCCTTGGTGGCTGCAGAGTTGTTTCTCTCGCATCCCACTCCTCTCTCCATTGCAGGTTCCCAAGCAGGTTTTCTCCTGTCTTAAATATGTTATCACAGAGGAACTCCCACCATCACTGACTGGCTCAGCCTTGGCCAGCAGTGGGTCCAACTTGGATCTTGAGAAGCTTCTAGCAG